AAAAGGAAGATAAATGTGTTATTATCCAGAAATCAGATAATGTGTGTGTTAGTTGTGTTCTCCCACACATCAAGCATGATGTTCCAACCTGTGATAAACTGACGTAATTTATCAAATCAGTTAAGCCAACACGAAACGAACCTCCAATGTGTCGTGGCCCTTTTGCATGGTGAACATGATTGTGCTGACATCAACGCCAGTGAACCTCGACTCAATTGCTCCTGTTCTTGCAACTTTTGTCCATTTCATGGCGATTTCTGATACCATGTCCTGTAAGAAATTCATCAGCAAAGCCAAAGTTCATTGTTCTTTCAGAAGGGAAGCAAAAATGAGACATAAACATAATAGATTCTCTTTCTTGTGAAGTCAGACTTTATATTTAAGAGATCACGGTTATAATAGCAAGGAAATGAATGAATGAACTGAGTTAATCTCGAAAAAAAGTTAAGTTCGACTAATTTCGCCAAACTGAATGTGAGCAACATATGTTCCTGTAAAAACTAAAAAGTGAACCTTATCAAATGTCCGAGTCCATTTTCATATCATGGTTGTGTTTATTCCACTTGCCCATCAACTGCACAACCATAAATCCACCGAAACTTCAAGAAAATACGAAATATTCGTATCTTAATCGGTATACTATTTTCAATTCATTTTCGTCATCCCATGTTCTCTAACATGCTACATGAAGAGAATTTCATCCCCATTTTGATCATGTGCACACATTCTTTTGCCTGATCAAAAAACTCCACTTAATAACTGAGTTTCTAAACAGATTATACCCCAAATTTCTACAATAACTAAAGGGGTATCTTTCAAATTGCGGTGACTAGAGATGTAAACAAGATAAGTCGAGCTCGAGCTCCTGATATTCGAGCCAAGTTCTAGAGCCTTAACGAGCTGGGCTATAAAAATTACTTATTTTTGAGCCTTGGTGAGCATTTAACAGAATGTAGAATCTAGATGACCCATTTGCAAAACTAGAAACACATATTGGGAGCTCAACAGTAAAATTGGAAGGGAAAATTTGCAAGTTTTTACCAAAGCAAAATTACCAGGGGCAGGCTTCGTAGTTAACCCTAATTGAAGTTTCATTAGGGCAAAAAAGAAAAGGAAAAAAAAATGCACATTAATCTGAAACTTCGAGAGAATTGAAAGGTGGAAAACACAGTCAAATCAAGGTGATTCGTTACCGGAGTTCGAGGATTTCCGGGTCGGAGCTTGACGAACCCGAAAACGGGCCCCACCTGACGCTTCATCATCTCTTCCTGCATCTGTTGGAGCCCCATTTTGGAGAAGTCCGTCGGCGGCGGGTCGAAATCGGGCTGCGCCTTGGGCTTGCCCCATTTTTTCCAGTCCTCGCCCTCCTCGTCGTCGACGACGTCGTCCAGCTCGTCCGGTATGTGGACACGGCGCTGGGCCGCGTCGGAAAATCTGTAGAATTTGTGAGTTCCGGCGGCGATTAGGAAGACGACGAGGAGCTGAAGGGGGGTTTTCATGGTGAAAATGGTGTTGGTGATGCTAACTTGCGCGGGGGCGTAGAGATGGGAGTGTGTTGCGTGTTGAACTTGAAGAAAGGGTGCTCCCGTAGAAGTATTTCTAAAATGGGCACATGGAGTGAGGCAAAGGCATGAATTGAAAATTTAAGAAAATAAAAAATAAAAGGGGACTAAAATTGTAAAAACCCATTTTTTAGAGTTGTATTCCATATAAATTATTTTAGGGAGAAAACAAAAAAAAACCTTAATTGAAAAAGGTGAATGAGAGAATAAAAAAATTATTTTGATAGAATAGTGGAATTATTTTAAGATTAACGAATGACATTAAGATAAAATGCAATGATTTAAGTTGATGTAATATAAAATTAGTAAAAATAAGAAATATAAATGTTTGGCAATTATAAATATGCCAACGGATGAATAATTAATTCTAGTAAAAAAACATGCAATAATAAATGGTGTTTATTATATAATTTTATTTATAAAATAAATGAGGAAAAAGTTGGAATAAATGAATAGTTAATTTTTAAGACAACAAAATTATATCCAAATATAATAATATCCAATAAAACAAAATAAAAAAAAAAATCCTATATCTAATTGTTCCCATAGTGATTTTGTACTTGAAAAAAATAACCTCATTGTGTTTTCTAAAGCCTCGTTTACTTCAAATTATGAAATTGTACAGTTTAATCCCATCAACTTTATACGTCAGTTTGTGTATCAATATTTACAAAATATGATGCATTTTAAGGTAAAAACAATCAAACAGTTACTAGCATGGATAAAATGACAGGATAAAAAACAAAATATGAGGTGGCAACAAAAAACCGTTGACCACAATTGTGTCTAAATTTGCATCGGACTGGTTCAGGGTCGACCACTTCGAACATATGACCCAATGTGTCAGGTCGGGTCGGCCGAGGGAAAATAAACAATATATAATTTTTTAAATAGTTTCCTGGCTACCCAGAATCGGCCCAGCCCGAAATTTGGCCATGCCTAATATCAACTATTAATTGCAATACTCTTTCAAAGTGTAAGATACAACTTGGACTAATGGTTGGTGGTTAATATGCTCGTTTAAATTTTCACATGTGGATTTCTAATGAAAAAAAAAAAAAATGCAACATTAATTTCCAACACCCATTTTTCCACCATTTATCATATAATCATTAAAAAAAATGTTTGAAACTGATAAATAAATTTATCTTCAAGGTAGTATCAACTTCCGACCTTAGCTCAGTTGGTAGAGCGGAGGACTGTAGTATGCTGCTGAAATCCTTAGGTCGCTGGTTCGAATCCGGCAGGTCGGATTAGTTATTTTTGCTTCTTTTTTTTTATCAGATTTCCATAAATTTCTTATTCCAATTTTCAAATATAGACAAAAACTTCCCAATATAATAAAATCAATCACTGAATGAGTTTTGTACCCAATTGTACATCAACTCATTATTTTTGTTTTGTTATTATTATTATTTCAAAAGCGTTAGGTGAAACATAAATCTCAAAGTACCATATCAAAACTGTCAAACATATATAGAAAATTCACATTTTTGTGTTATGAGCAAAGGGATGTTGGTCATTACTACATTGATTACGTCAATATTTACGATATTTATCTATGAGATATGGTAAATAAGGAATATACTGTGTAATTTGTTAATGTATTGGATTCTTGTACCTTGTGCTATTTTTGCTGTCTTGCCAAGTTTATTAGATGGCTCAGTTGCAATGTTGTTTTCTTGTCAGGTAGAGGTTAATTTTTGCTGGGAGTTTGACTGTGAAAGGTGGAAGAAAAGTGAAGATAAATAAGTTCATGTATGAGTGAAATTTTTAAAAGGTAATTTTTTTTTATTTTTTTTTCATTAATAGACCTGCTTAGGGTGCTAAATAGGGCTGTAGACAATAGTTTATAGTTCAAGGGTGAGATTAAATATAAGGTTTCTTTTTCTTTGTTTTTTTGAAAACTTTTGTCTTGTTTGGAAAATTGAGATGAAGTATGCTGTTATAAAAAATGAGATAAATTTGAGATTGCGAATAAATAATAATTAGATTGAATGTAATATAGTAGTGGTAGGATAGATAAAAATATGTGAGTGAATGGATAATTTTTTTTGTTGGTAATATATAATTATTTTTTATTTTTTAATTGTACTGGTGAATATAATAAAATTTGTAGAGTTGAAGTAGGATGAAATAAATACTATTTTTGAGAGATATATATATATATATATATATATATTTTTTTTTTTTNAAATATCGACTAAAACAAACAAAAACAAAAAAAATATTGTATCAATTAATGTTAAACAAGTTGATGAACATAATACATATATTACATGACACAAGGCAAGACTTACAAACATAGTACAATTTATAATTTGCACTTGCATTTATATCAATGAATTGTCATTTCTTTTTAACTATTTGCAACTAAAGTTAGATATTAAATTGAGACAAGAACATAATATAAATGTACAACTAGATGAATGAGTTGAAGAGATTGGGTAAACCTTTCATGGATCAGCTTTTTCATCTATAGCCTTGTCAAAAACAATTGATTTGCTAGGTTAATATATTACATTTTTGTTGCTTGGATATCTTTACAAAGAACTGAAGTGAAATAAAGAAATGCAGTAATGGGTTTATATAATATTTGTGGATACAATTACACAAATAAATTCTTTCCATATATTTTTTCCTTTTCGCATAGAAATTTGATATACAAAAAAAATTATTTGTACCATCTTAATTTACAGCTTTCTTTTCCCAATTAAGATTGTATCTCTATACAGCAAAGGAAAATTGTCAGTTTATGTTCTATCTCAATCTATACCTTCTCCACTCCATTTACGCATTCTTTCTGATGCTTGTTCCACCTGCAAAATCCAAGTAAAGGTAAAATAAATCTACAAAATGAAAAGGAGAAAATACTATTAATTTATGCTGCAAAATCAACAAGAATTCAATATTCTGCATAAAAAACAAATATAGAGTAGATAAAAATTACACCCATACATTGTGCCTTGCTTCACACATTCATCACTTTTGCATTAAAAGATTCAACACAAATGTTGTTGTAAGTCTACCTAACCATCACACAATCAACCTTTATGACAAAAAATAAATACATATATTATGAAATGTCATACTTTTTTTTTTATATATATATTTTATTTTAAGTATGACATTGAGTATAAAAGTATGTTATTTGTTGGAAGAATGTAACTTTCTAACAATTAGAAAAACTAAATTCAAGATATTTGAATACCTCCTCATTCCAATTTGTTCTCCAAACAATAATTAGAAGTATCACAGTTTGCAGAAATGTCCCAAATATCATCCCCATCCAAATTCCCTGCCAAATAAAATAAATAAATAAACAAATAAATAAAAACAATGATAGAAGCACACAAATCATATCTTTTACCTTATTAACACAAACAGACACACACAATAACTATGCAGTGAGAAAGGATAGGAAA